TCGTCAGACATATCCTCTCTCTGTATCGTGAATGCGACGTGTGGCAGGACAGCCAGGTGTTGGAGTTTGGTGCTGGGTGCACTGAGCCTGCAAGGGTCCCGTCGTTGCTGCCAAGCCCAGCCCCGTTAGCGAGGACACGGTCCACCACACCAATTTGCGCCTTCCAAACTCGAACTTTTCTCGCAACACCGACCTTCCCTACCGCCCACCGCACCCTCACGAGGTATGTCTTGGACCCGAGTGCCCTTCAGAGCCCGGGGATGCAATCGCCGTCGTCCGCAAGGATGAGTGCGACACTGCTTCTCCTCTTCGACACGAGCTGAAGAACCCTCCTGCAAGGGCACTCTCCATGCTCTGGCATCTGGAGGCTAACCACGCACGCGCAGATACCTCAGTCGCCTCCGCCACAGAGAATCTCCTGTTAAACCGTCAAAATGGTCAAGACTTCCGTCCTCAACGATGCGCTCAACGCCATCAACAACGTAAGCTACAGCGCCAGAGATGGACATGGACATGCGCTGACAACTGAACAGGCTGAGAAGGCTGGCAAGCGTCAGGTCCTGATCCGTCCTTCCTCCAAGGTCATCGTCAAGTTCCTCACTGTCATGCAGCGTCACGGTACGTCGACTCCTGAATCTACCACATCACGCGTCATGACCCCAAAGACGTGTATTCCTCCGCTAGCAACCCCATCACCTCTTCGGGCTGATAACTACTCACTGATCTCGACTCCCCACGATCAATGAGCTTTAAGTGTCCGATAAATTAACTGCGGAGGACTTACACGTCTTCGGAACCCTTTCATGACGTCTGATGTTTATTTCGCCGCAACAAACACTAATTCTCTTCTTCAGGTTACATTGGCGAGTTCGAGGAGGTCGACGACCACCGCAACGGCAAGATCGTCATCCAGCTCAACGGCCGCATCAACAAGACCGGTGTCATCTCTCCCCGCTACAACGTCCAGCTCCGCGACATGGAGAAGTGGGTCGTCAAGCTACTTCCCTCTCGTCAATTCGGTTACATCGTCCTGACCACCTCCGCTGGTATCATGGACCACGAGGAGGCCCGCAGGAAGCACGTTGCTGGCAAGATTCTCGGTTTCTTCTACTAGAGGCTGTCTCGATATGTGGTGGTGTGGGATTCAATATACCCTGGCTTGGGCAAGCTTATGTTTGGCCAAGTAAGCCCATCATGGGAACGTTAGACGAAGAAATGACAAAAGTTCATGACTGGGAAATTTACATGTCCGCTGTGATGCTCGTGAATGTGCGATACGTTAGTGGTAAATGTCGATTGACACTTGAACATGACGATGTCGTGATTAGCGTGGCCTTTGCAAGACAACGACAGCTTGTACAACGTGATGGTCATCTCTGAAGACATTGAGATGTTGCAATCATACACCAATGACGGACCACAAACTCATGATGAAGATGAAGGTATTTGAAATGTGATTCTCATTAACTATGTACAAGACACGGTCATCAAGCATGCTACCCAGTAAAACGCCAACCCGCGCCTTTACTTTTCATCAACAATCATCAAACCATGAATCATAATCCCATCATGATGCCTCTACTAGGGCACTCTTCCGAAACCAATCAATCCCTAAACGCCTGTGCTGAAATGCCTCTAACTCAACCTCCCACTTTGTCCAAACTCATCTAATCGTAAAGATCCATATCCTCCTCCGCATCCAACTCAGCAACAGCATCAGACTCATCGTACATCTCCGAATCATCCTCACTGTCCGTGTGATTAGGCAACACCATAATATGTCCATCATCAAGCACAACCCTCGCCGTCTCACCCTCCTTGATAGATCCACGGAGGATAAGCACCGCAAGCCGGTTGAGCACCTCCTTCTCGATGAGGCGAGCAAGCGGCCTAGCACCGTATGCCGGCGAGTAGCCCGCCGAACCAAGGTAATCCCGTACCTCAGGCGTCATCTCGATGCGCACATTACGTCCGTTCTGGTTGAGACGTTTCTGGATCTCGCCGAGGCGCACGTCGACGATCTTGCGGATCTCGCGCTTGGTGAGGCGGTTGAAGATGACGATGGAGGAGATGCGGTTGAGGAACTCGGGGAGGAACCAGTTGCGGAGGGCGCCCATGACCATTTCTTTGGTGGTGGGGTCGATCTTGCCGTCGGGTGCGTTGGGGCGGGACAGGTGCTCAGCTCCTAGGTTGGAGGTCATGACGACGATGCAGTTCTTTGCGTCGACGACGCGGCCTTGGCCGTCGGTGATGCGGCCGTCGTCCATGAGTTGGAGGAGCACGGTGAGGACTTCCTTGGCGGCCTTTTCGACTTCGTCGAAGAGGAGGATGGAGAAAGGTTTGCGGCGCAGGGCTTCGGTGAGCTGGCCTCCGGCGTCGTGGCCTACGTAGCCGGGTGGTGCTCCGATCATTCGGCTGAGGGAGTGACGTTCTTGGTACTCAGACATGTCGAAGCGGATCATGGCCTTTGCGTCGTCGAATAGGAACTCTGCAAGTGCCTTTGTGAGGAGTGTCTTACCGGTACCGGAAGGACCACAGAACAAGAAGCTGGGCGGCTGGTTGGGGTTGGCGAGACCAGAGCGCTGAAGTCGGATGGCGTTGGAGACAGAGACGACGGCCTCCCTCTGACCAACGACGACTTCTTGGAGGTGGCGCTCCATGTTGAGCAGCTTGTCCTTCTCTGTAGTCTTGAGTCGAGTGACTGGGATACCGGTCCAGCGAGCGACGATCTCGTTGATCTGGTCCGGACCAACAGAGTCGCTCATGAGAGCCTCACCACCACCACTAGCCTGGTGAGACCACATCTCTGCATCCGCGCGAGCCTTGTCCCTTTCCAGCTCGCTGATGCGCTGCTCGACATCGGGAATGGCGTAGTACTTGAGATCGGAAGCAGTCTGGATGTCGCGCATACGCTCGGCCTCAGCAAGTTTCGTCTTGAGGCCTTCGAGCTTGAGCTTCTGCTCCTGGATGTCCTTGCTGCGACCCTTTTCGCGCTCGTACATCTCACGAAGCGGCTTCAGCTCTTCCTCGATGTTGGCGGCCTCTGCGCGCGCCTCCTTCAGACGGACTTGTGAGGCTTCGTCCTTCTCTCGGGAGAGCGCGTGAATCTCGATCTGTAGTTGTCGGTGGCGTCGCTCAAGGTTATCAAGCGCTTCGGGTTGTGACTCTCGGGTGACACGAACGGCTGCTGCAGCCTCATCGATAAGGTCAACGGCAGAGTCGGGTAGTCGGCGCTGAGTGAGGTAGCGGGCAGCAAGGGTGGCTGATGCGACAATGGCACCATCCATGATGGTGACTCCGTGATGGGTCTCGTAGCGCTCCTTCAGACCACGAAGAATGGAGATGGTCTCGGGAATGGACGGCTCCTTGACGAGAACCTGTTGGAAACGACGCTCGAAGGCAGCGTCCTTCTCGATGTACTTTCGGTACTCGCCTAGGGTTGTCGCACCAATGCAGTGAAGCTGTCCACGGGCCAGCATGGGCTTCAGCAAGTTGGCAGCGTCCATGCCGCCCTCTCCGGATGAACCAGCGCCCATAAGGAGATGGATTTCGTCGACGAACAATACTATCATTTCTTTCGACTCTTCAATCTCCTTCAAGACACCCTTCATGCGGTCCTCAAACTCTCCGCGGTACTTGCTACCAGCAACCAAAGCACCGACATCGAGAGAGAGCAGCTTGCAGGCTGCGAGGTTGGCCGGTACATCCGCGTCGACAATGCGGCGGGCAAGACCCTCGACGACTGTAGTCTTACCAACACCAGGCTCTCCAATGAGGACTGGGTTGTTCTTGGTTCGCCGAGTCAGGATACGGATGACTCTGCGTGTCTCGTCTTCTCGACCAATGACTGGGTCGATCTTGCCCTCTCGTGCCATTGCCGTCATGTCGATGGTGAACTTCTTCAAGTTCTCGTTCTCCTGCTCTGCGTCTGCCGACTTGGAGTCCACCCGCTTTGTACCTCGGAGTGCCAGGATAGCATTGTCGATCTGCTTGACGTTCGGTACGTTCGACTCGGCGAGGATCCGTTGCATTTGCGCATCCTGGCAGAGGGACTGGATGAGGTGGTCAACGGCAATGAAGCTGTCTTTTTGTGTCTTGCTCAAGTCTTCGGCGGAGCGGAGCACCTTGGCCATAGCAGGTGAAGGTGAAGTCCGCTCTGGCGGAGGGTCTTGGCTTGGTAACCGTACCATAGCCTTCTTGAGGTTGCGCTCGAAGAGTTGTGGGTCGCCATTCGCGCGTTCGAGTACTTGCTTGAATAGCGGCGGCGGCGGTACGTCGACTTGGTTGGCCAGATCTTTGGGCGGATCTATGAGCGAGACGGCGAGGTGGAGGGGTGTGAGTTGTGAGTGCGCATAGCCCTTAGCTAGATCGAAGCTGTCTGCTAGAGCCTTCGCGGCGCGGTCGGTGTAGGCGTCGAATGAAGTCATGGTGATTCGTGACTATAGCCTGATGTATATGGCCCGAAGCCAAAGGTAATAATCGTGGGTCGTGAGCTCGTACTCAGGAATCGTGTATGCGTTGTGTTGTTGTTGGGTATCTCTGGAGAAGAAAGGAAGTGTTGCACAAAGGACTCGAGAAATATTTATAAGGTGCAGGCAGCTTTACTCAACACTTCGTGAAGCGTCAGGAAGCCGTCAGTGACATCGTGTGGTTTCTCGTCATGTCTCGAAGCTAGGCGTGGGTTCTGCCCTGTCGGTAGAAGCTTCTGGATCCTCGTACAGGTTTCCGGTCAGGCAAAGAGCTCCCCGCCAATCGCAGCTACGTCACTCCTGCTGCACTATACCTGATATGGACTAGACCAGTCGCGTCTGCCCAACTGGTGCCACATCAGATCATCACTCCACGCCGACCCAACGTACCGCCTGCAATGACCATGGTTCAATGCGACTCAGGCGGATCCGCGATCAGCGTGGCAGGGTGTGACTCTTCACGCCTTGCGGCCTGACGTCCGGTTCGAAAGTCAAAGGGCAAGGTATACTCGACACGTCAGCAATATTTTCCTACATCGAAGTTTGATTCTCTGGATGAGAGAACTCGTTGACCAGGCAGAGCTTTACTACCAGGATTCTGGCTCTCTCCTTCGTTTGGCCACGTTTGTTGAAGTCCGCCAACTTCGCCTCGATGGTTTCCCCAGCTGCCAATGAAAGCTTTACCCTCGTAATTCTCGACTCCCTTCCACCACTTCCCTTCGAGTCTGTCCATCAGCACTACCGCCTTCTCGTCCATCGTCATAGACAAAAACAATCTCGACACATCGTCTGGAGCGACGTCGTCCATGCGTCCACCAGGGTACATCATGGTCGGCCACTCAGCTACGACCAATCCACCCGAACTAGGCCATGCGACACCAACCCACACGTTTTCCCTTGCCGTCGGCTCAGGGAGAGCAGCCATTTCGTCCTCATCTTGCAAGTGGTCGGGTTGAGTGAACAGGGAGTGTCTAGCGGGAGAATCCCACCACTTCCCACCGAGCAATAGTAAGCGCTGAGCAAAGTCGTCTTCCTCTTGTCGAGTGGCGTGACGCTTCTTCGGAGGATCGAGACGATCGAGGCTGAGAAAGTCGAAATCTGCAGGACAGGGCCTCTCGAGTACGATCACACCTCCGCGTGACGGCCAAGCGAAGATAGTGATTTCTTCGTAGAAGTCGACACGCTTACTGAGATCTTTGACGCTATTGTAGATGGTTCGCGGACCGCACAAGTGCGTTTGACGTTGTACCGGACTTATGAAACGTGCGCTATCAGATGGGGGCGGTGGCGTGGGACGGATTGAACTGAGCACGCTACCCATGATGAGACCGGGATGTATGTCGAGTGCAATGTGGGGAGGCAGGGAACAGAAGATCAAGATAAAGCAACTGTGCCTCATTGTCGGTCACGTGCAAACCCCAAATAGCGGGAACGTCATCGCTTCGGCCCTTATCAAGACTGAGGCATACCCCATATGTTAGAGAGTACGATTATTAATCGCACTAAACAGAACCTTATAGGCCATTGATGATGTAGGACGACCATCATAATTTCGTATCTTCATCCTGTTTTGCACCCAACGCATCACCCCAACACTTCTTCTCCATATCCCGCCTCACGAATGGCCACGCGAGAAGCATAAACATGGCCATCAGCGTATCCACGATCCCCCATCCACGCCGCGGACTCGCACCCATAGCATTCGCCCACAATAGCTGAGGATCGAATCTCCCATCACATACAGCATAGTCGCCGCTCGCTACATTTGCCACAATCTCGGGCGCAATCTTCGCAGCGTAGGGGAATTGCTTCTCCAACTCGTGAAGCTCGCCCGACGTGCCTTCGATGCGCTTGGTAAGTTCGGGTTTAGTCTTTTGCTCTTGTAGAAAGGTTGGCGTGATGAAGTTGTGCGCAAAGATACATTGGACGGCGTACGTGCTCTTTGGGCCTGAGTACCTCATTACTTCCATGCGTAGGGTGTCGGCAAGTGAGCGTTGAGCAGCTTTGGCGGCTTGACGAATACACAGTATCAGTTAGTATACTGGCTTCAAGACTTGTACCATTTTTAGACGATGCATAACCACTTACCGGAGTATGCTAGGTAGCCAGGTGCCGGGACAAGCGATGCGGAACTATTCACGAACACAATCTTTCTCAACTTTGGGCTTGATGGCACCGCAGCGTCTTCGTCATCTTGAGTCCACAGCTTCATTGCCGCCTGCGCTGGATACAGGCTTGAGTAGTAGTTGTTGTTCATACATCGTTCGAATACCTCAGGCTGCAGATCGAGTAAGTACCCGCACTCCGACGGTGTACCGCCAGCAACACAGTACACGATATCCGGAATTATCGGTTGTGACGCGAAAAGGGAATACGCCTAGTGGTCATCGTTAGAATGCTAGTTTGGACTTGCCTTCCCATCTTGGTAGTTGGGCCGGACGTCTACTCACTGTTGAAGGCGTGCCAAGGTCTGCAGCGATTGCCGCAACCTGCTGGCTTTCCTCTCTTCTGCTTGCAAGAATCTCATCTTTGGCTTCGTCGAGCGACGTCTGCCCGCGCGCAAAGATGGTCACATTTGCACCTATACGTTGCTGTTCAACAATGCCGACCGACACTCTAGGTATACCAAGCTCGTACCTTGAGAAGCCATAACCTTCGACATCTCCTTCCCCAGTCCTTTAGACCCGCCAATCACGAATACCGTCTTCACATGTCAGCGTACATACGCGGATCAGCCAGGTTGCACCATACCTTCCCACTTAGATCACCTTTAGGCGCCATGCTTGCGTGCTGTGAAACGGACGGCAATGCAAAAGAGTGGTGGTTGCCGGAGAATTGATGGGAGCGAAGGTGAGCCAGACACAACGCCGCCACCTCATCCGTGGCCCGTGTAAGGGTTCTGCGCGTTTGTGGCACAGTAATTGTTTAGGCAGCGGCGCTGCATCGTGGTGCACGGCCCGCGTGATTTATGGACTTCACGTGGACATTAGGCTATGTCAAACTCCAGAAATTGTCTCATACGGATAATGAGGCTATGAAAGATTACCTGGTTTCTATTGCACGATCGCGTGCAAAGTCAGAAATATGGCAGCTTGGAGTGTGTAGACAAAGCCTGGGTTGTCTCACTCTATCCGAGCACGGTGAGACTTGGTCATTGCGTATATCCAATACTTGAACAACAACAAGCATACAAAAGTTCTAGGTGTGGGTTGGACTAAACAACCTGGGCATATCCTAATCTCCAAAAAAGCCTCGACGGAAGAATCCTACATGCACGTATGAGCATCCAAGATCCACCGGCCCGAAGCGCTAGCATGTGAAGGCTGAAGGAACTGCCGCCAACCTTTCTGCAACTATGATCTTACTTCGCCCCATTCCATTCCTTCTCGCCAAGCCTCAACGGCTTACGTGCATATTTCGTGTTACCCACAACATGTACATGAAGGAATGATCTTCGCGGCTCGGGGACCGCCATTTTGGTACTTTATGAAGTTGATATGAGGGATAACGCGGCTGGCTTCGTTTGTTGCATGCGTTTTACGCCCGGTTGACCAGGCTACTCCATCCCTGTCACATTGTGCATAATCCTTGAACTACCAAGGCGAACTCGAGACGAGACGAATTATCCGGGTAATGATCGTGAGGCCAATAGAAGGTACCCTCAGTATCTCACCATCGAAGCAGGCATGCCAAACCCAGTCAGCCCTTCATGCGCCATCCAAGTATAGACCTTGTGGGCAGCTTGCGAAACGCTGATTCGCTGCGCATGATCCTGGCTTCCCTCGATTTCCATCATTTCCTGGATCCACGCGAAAATTGATGTTACCATCCCGCTTACTTGCTCTTCCGTGTTGCCGGCGTGGAATGTAACCTTTAAGCGACTTTCGCCCTTGGCGACGACAGGGTGCTCGACTGGGAACACGCAGTAGCCGTCTAGGAGGAGGTGGAAGTACAGCCAGTATGTGTATTGCTGTCGGGTGCGGATCGTGATGATGTGGGATGTCGCCGTTGGTGATCCTTCCCAGTCTTTTAGTAGGGGGATGGCGAGCAGCCCAGTTTGTTCTGCACATTCCCAGAGAGGGTGCGATATGATTGACTGTAAAAAGAAATCCACAAGATCGTGAACCTGTGCTTGGGCCTTGTAAAGGGTCAGCGAACGATCGCCCTGGACATTGATATGAAGAGAATGATTACCTGTCTTCCAACTTCCGACTCTAACAGCCTGTATCCTGTTCGGATAAGTGCTACCGATGCGAATGAAGGTGCAGTCGTGAATATGATGGTTCGTGCGAAGTTCAGGAGCGTAGATTTGATTGTCTCGTTTCCAAGGATGGCAGCTGTTTTGCGAGTGAGTATACATGGCCCTAATGTAGGCCGTGAGATACATACCGCCTCTTGACGACAATGCCTTGCCGTATGAATGCATCACTATAGCCACCTCTTTTTCCAGACCAAGAGCGCACACAAGACCCTTGCCTTGCGGCCCATAGATGCCATTGCTATGGGCTTCGTCCACCACGAACTGGACACATCCGGAAGGAGCCAGTTCTTTCGCGGCATCGACAAGTTCTTGCAATGGGCAGACATCACCGTCCATACTATAGACAGACTCGACAGCTACCAAGACTGATCTTGCGCCCCTTTGGATCAACGGATTGGACTCTATGATCCATGTTAGGATGCGGCGAAAGTCCTCGATGTCATTGTGCGCAAAACTCTCTCGTTCTCCTGCCAGACTCTGGTCAATTCCTTCATGAGTGCTGGCATGCACCAAGGTATCGTATAGAATTACGTCGCCCGGTCGTGGTATTGACGTCCATATGGCCACGTTTGCTTCGAACCCAGAGGCCAACAATAATGCCGTTTCTGCGCCATGGAATTTAGCGATGTGCTGCTCAGTTTCTTCTATATAGGCGTAGTTTCCTTCGGCGAGTCGCGATCCCGGCGCCCCGGGGTTGTGTTGATCATATCGGGAAAGCTCTTTCAGGTATTCTGTCTTCAAGATGCCGCTGGTGCCAAAAGAGAGAATGTCGTTGGAGATGAAGTCGACTATTGACTCAGCTGCTTGCCATAGGTTCTGTTGGATCGAATAGAATGTGTGTGACTTCTTCTTAACTTCTAGTGCGTCTTCCAGGTTGCGATAGAATGAGGACGATGGGATTGTTTTTTGTCGGGGCTTCTGGTTCCCGATACGGGCTGCCAACTCTCGGCTGGGGCTGAAGATGGTCGTTGGGTCGTATGCCTCACCCATTCTGTGGAAACCTTCGTAAAGTAGACGCCCAGGTGTGTAACAGGAATAACCGAGAGTGATGCACTGCACAGTCAAGATATTCGTTATATGTACGGCCTGCCCCCAGATGGGTGCATAGCCCGTGCGACACAGCCATCAGATCGATCTGACTATAGCATTGAGACGGGCAAGAAGAGGAGGACGCTCCAGGGAGGCTGAGTATAGGCGAATGAGATGCTGGATCTGGTGGCACTATCCGTGGGCCATAACTACCCTTGCAGCTTGCAGCAACCGACCTCTCTACGCGGCTGTAGCGATTACAGGCAGCCCTGGAGTGGCCGGTCAAAAGGGTGCCTAGACTCGGCATGCAACATCATATCGGTGAGCTATTACCTGCATGCAGGCGAATTGCACAGGAGTCGGCAAGGTATCAAGCAGTGAGGAGAGCAATAGGGGAGGATCGTCATTACGCGCACACTTCATGTTCGTCACGTGATGAGAGGGCTCACGTCAGCGGATCGCGTGTGGCTGGGACGCGTTTACCGAAGTCGTGCCGGGGATAGCAGGGCACCTGCATCTTTCCATTCTAGGACTGTGATGAACTACGAAGAATGCGTTCCCACCAACCCGAGATGCCAGCCATGCACCCTCTACCTAGCGCCTATCACCCATGTGAACCCTATCACGATCTGGAAGATCATACTCGCTCAATTCGCTGATCTCGAACTGGTCGCGACGCTTCTTTAGTGGTGCGGCTTTGTGCCACGACGGCAGCCCGCGACGCGTCTCGGACTGACCTTCAGCATGACCGCTTGAGCCCGGCCGCGTTATCTGTCGCAAGAGCGAGACAACAGAATCCGAGAATGGCAGGGCCTTGACGACTTTGGGAAGCGATGGGAAGCCTATGATGAGGAAACCAGCCGTCATCTCGCCTACACCCCAAAGACCCGCGATGGAGACAATATACAGCTGATCGGATGTGTGCAACAGCCTGTAAATGTAATATAGACGCACCGCTGCGCTCGCACAAGCGAATATTCCGATACCGAAGAGGAGCGAGATACCGATCTTGCTGGCGCGCGACATGTGTAGCTGCCAGATCACCCTCTGTGGCAGCCCAAGGATGACCAGATCGGAGATGAGGTTGACGATACCCGCAGCCATGTTGTGGCTTCTCATGTCGATAGGGCACTTGCCTTCTACCAAAGGATTCCATATCTTGGTCCGTGGACTGCACTGGAAGATCTCGACCAAGGTGCCGACGCCATAGAAGAGGATGTTCGCCCAGATCATGACATGGGAAATCCAGAACACGGCGTTGCGCTGCCCACGAGGCACGAAGATCTTGAGCCAGTCGAGCAAGATGGCTACCTTCAGGAGCATGATGACCAAGCCGTAAAAGATTGAGCCCAGATGAACATGCTGTTAAGGTTCAGTTAAGGTTCATATCTCGATCGCTGTCGCACTCACGTAAAGGATTGGAAACAGATTTTGGAGCTGGATGTTCCACTGATGAACTTCAAAGCCTGGGAATATCGCGAGTTCGTATAAGACATACGAGTGTCCAGCAAATAGACCCTTTGCAGCCTGTTTAGTTTGGTTCGTCTTCTGGATACTGAGATGCTTACCAGAGCCGATATCAGGAGCGCATCTTCGATGCGAAATGTCTTCAACAGCGCTCTCGACCACAAACGAAGCAGAACCGCAAGTGCAGCGACAATGCTTCCGAGCAAGACAACACCATAGCCAATAGCATGGCTTCCGCCTGGGTGGTCGAAGTTTGAACTCGCACCCAGGGGTGGCTCTAGAGCTGGACCCTCCAAAAGCGCGGCTAGGAATATAGCCTGCTCTTCTGGCGAAGATTGTGCGAGTGCAGCTGGGTCCATGATGTGAAGCGATTATGGTATACGAGTGCGGTTTGCCTTTGTAAGCAGATTGGGTTCACGGGAAAGGCGGTAGAGTAAAGGAAAAATGATTCCAGCGCAGTGGATGACTGCCTTGCCGGCGCTTTATCAAGCTGACTGGCTACGGCAGATTGAACGTACGTGGGTGGCAGTAGGCGATATTAACGGCTGACATTTGGTCGCTTTGGGAAACCAACTCGCATGCAGCCACCCCTGCACGCGCATCGACTCTTTCAAGGAAATAACCTCCAAGGATTTTGACGCTTCCTGTAGGTCTGCCTTGGGGGCCACAGGCTGTAATGGCTTACCACCAATAGCCATACCATCGGTAGCAACGGCCAATCACCTCGCACCCCAGCATATGCGTCAAGATCATCATACCTCGGAAAGCTCGAAATAGCATGACCATCTCTATGCGCTTTCTCTTCCGATATGTTTTGGTGTAACTGAATGAGCACCGCACTTGAACAGTGACTGAACACCGTGAACTTACGCCGAAGCCTCACAGCCATGGAACCCATCGCCATCGTCGGGCTGTCCTACAAGCTACCGGAAGGTCACAATGAGGACCACAGCTTCTGGGACAATCTACAAAGAGGCAGAAGCCTCAGTCGTCCGTGGCCTAAGTCCCGAGGCAACATCGATGCATTCTACAACTCCAACGTAGCGATGGATAATACGGTAAGCTACATTTACGAAACGTCAAGAGAGCAGCCAATGCTAACAGAGGTTGACAGGTATACTCCACGAATGCTCACTTTGTCAAAGAAGATCCTGCCGCCTTTGACGCAGCCTTCTTCTCTATAACCTCGAAAGAGGCCGCATCAATGGACCCTCAGCAGAGATGGCTACTGGAAACTTCATACAAAGCATTGGAGAATGGTGAGTGCTACCCAACCTCTACATCACTATTATTGTCGGCGAAGTCTAACTTGTTGCAGCTGGAATTCCACCAGAAACCCTTGCTGGATCACAGACGGCAGTGTTCGCTGCTTCCATGTCCGATGACTACAGCAGAATCTTGGCTAGAGACCCCGACGAAGCACCGACCAATACCGCGACGGGTACTTCGCCTTCTATCCTAGCCAATAGGCTTAGCTGGTACTTCGACTTCAAAGGGCCTAGCATCCAACTGAACACGGCATGCTCGACAAGCATGATTGCGATGGATTTGGCTTGTCATTCGCTTCGTAGCGGCCAGAGCTCAATGGTAACGCTGTCCTACGAGATCGTGCCACTACAAGAGTACTGACACGCGCTAGGCTCTTCTTGCTGGAGCGAACGTCCTCCTCAGCGTCGAAATCTCGCTTTACCTATCGAACATGCAGATGCTCTCACCAGACGGCGTCTCCTATAGCTTCGATCACCGTGCTAATGGCTACGCCCGTGGAGAAGGTGCGGTAGTGCTGGTACTCAAGAGGCTTTCGGACGCGATTCGAGATTCAGATGTCATACGTGCCGTAGTTCGAGCGACTGGCTCAAACCAGGATGGACGCACACCAGGCATCACGCAGCCCAGCGCGGAATCGCAAGAGCAGTTGATAAGACACGTTTATAAGAGCTGCAACTTGGGATTTGAGTCTACGCGATACGTCGAAGCTCATGGAACTGGTACTCAGCTCGGAGATGCCACGGAGATGAAGGCGATAGGCAGGGCCTTCCGGGCTAGCCGATCACAAAAACACCCGCTATATGTTGGATCCGTCAAATCCAACATAGGCCATCTCGAAGGCTGTAGCGGACTAGCTGGAATTCTCAAGTCTATCATGATACTGGAAATGGGCGTCATACCACCAAGCGCACTTTTCGAGAAGATTAGTCCAAAGATCAACGCCAAGATCTACAATGTTGAGGTACCCACAAAATGCATCCCATGGCCGACCAATGGGCTGCGTCGCATCTCAGTCAACTCATTCGGATTCGGCGGTTCCAATGGACATGTCATACTAGACGATGCATATCACACTCTCGAGTCCATGAACCTACAAAGCTTTCACAATACATTGGTTGATTCAACTCTGCAGAAGTCACAAACGAATGGCAGCATTCCGAATGGGAAACTGAATGGCACAAACGGTAACGACCATGCCAGCGACTGTGGGGTGATCGCTGATCCTGCTCATGTTAATGGCTCGACAACCGGGGGTAGTACTCAGAGTGTCAAGGCATCGGGAGGAGGCGTCCAGCTACTTGTCTGGTCTGCAAGGGACGAAGCTGCGTTACGACTCGTAATGCAGCAGTATACAGACTACTTCGACAAGCGCGTATCAGGGCACGAAGAGAAACTACGTCGCCTCGCGTATACTCTGTCCTCTCGCAGGAGTGTCATGGCTTGGAGGGCGTTCGCAGTCGTTGATTCCAGCGAGAAATCCACGGCCATCAGCGCTGCTACTTCCACCCTGATACGTTCAGCTCGAGAGGCCGGCATGGCGTGGATATTCACTGGCCAAGGTGCACAGTACGCTCAAATGGGCTGGGAACTGCTCAAATTTCCTATCTTCAAGTCAACTTTGGTCAGGATCGAGGATGTCTTTCGCGCATTAGGCGCAACTTGGTCATTACTTGGTAAAACAGCCGACTGCCTCTACCTCAACGTTCACGCTAACTTTTGACTAGACGAGATGGAGCACGGGAACAACATCAATCAGCCCCGTTTCAGCCAGCCCCTCTGCACTGCTCTCCAGATAGCGCTTGTGGAACTACTAAGAAGCTTCCGTATTGCGCCACTTGCAGTGGTCGGCCACTCCTCTGGCGAGATTGCTGCGGCGTACTGTATAGGTGCTCTGTCACTTGAGTCTGCATGCAAAGTCGCTTACCACAGAGGAAGACTGGCCAACCAGCTTATGGAATCTTTACCTCATCCCGGAGCCATGATATCAGTGAATCTCCCCGAAAGTGGCGTTTCAAAATACCTGGCCAAGGCTTCTCTTTCTAGAAATGTCCACATTGCTTGCGTCAACAGCCCTTTCAACGTAACACTTTCTGGCGATGAGACCGACATCGACACGCTGAAAGATCGGCTGGATGAAGACGGCATATTCGCTCAGAAACTGAGAACTGGCGTAGCTTATCATTCTCCCGCTATGCATGCCATTTCCGCGGAGTATTACTCGTCGA